GGGGGGGGGCGTGAGCATATATATCTATGTGGCCTTTAAACCGTTGCGATTAGAGCTCGGTTCAAACTAGCACTCTGTGGTATATCGTCCCTAGCAGAGTCAGATTTGGATTAAATTGTTTGGATTGGTCTCGGAAACAACTGTTTTGCTTTTGAGGCACATTCATTGATTCGTGTTTGGCTTGCGGTAGAGCCAATTTTGGGAGGTTGGGTATCCAGTATGCTGGATGGGTAGTGCCCCGCGCCGGTTCGTGAGAGCTATACCTGCAGGTAAACTGGCAACTCATGGATTCCGTTCAGTGCAGCCGTCACTAGCTGTTTTTGTCAGGTTCGCTGCTGATGTGTAGCCAAGGTCACTTCAATCGGCGGGCGCTGCATGACGTTTTCGGTTTTAATCTGCAGCATGCTCACTCTGGCAACGCGCCCTGTCTGCATGGAGCTAGGGTGTGCTCACGGTCTTGTCTTCGCTTCCCGAGCCAGGTGCAGTATCTGCAAGACGGGCACAGAAGTGTGGCGCCACAGTGCTCAGACAAGTGGTTGTACCTCGTTTGCACTCGAGTTGCTGGTTCGCGCTTTCGGTGATTTTATGGAGGCTTTGGTTGTTGACCTTCGTGGGAGTATTTGCCTTGGATTTCAGCTGCTGGGAGTGCGATGCAGAGCGGACCTCTGGGGCAATGTGGGGAATGCTGCAATGCTGTCCGTGGCGGCCGGGCGTTCACGGCAGCCAGATGCTTAATTCCAATGACAGCATCTTGCCAAGCCTTGTGGGATCCTGGCTTGCTTCTCCCGAGCTCATCCTCAACGTCGCTGCGTTGCACCGCGAGACTGCAATGAACAACGCGAGTGCCGTCATGACAGCTGCCGAGGAAGATGCTTCCCGTGCTCAATGCAATGACAGCTGCCCCTTAGCCGCACATTCGCAGACTGCCCTGTAGATGTGAAGCCGAATGGAGCCATCACGTCAGGTCAAGTTGCCTCCACGTGGCCAAGCTTTCGGCCATACCATCACTGCGAAGCTGGAATGCATCAAGAATGGCTTAGCTGGCCATTGAGAGTTCGAGCCACTGATCCTTCAGGCAGAGTTCACCCCAAACATTGTCAGCAAAGATTCAGATTCACGGTGAACCATAAGGCAACCATTGGATAGGATAGGTGTCCCTGTTCTTCCGCTTCAGCTCCAGGTATCGTGAGTGGTGTGATGTTTGTTGCCGGGTAAGTGTAGCATGCAGCATCTTGAAGAAATGTGCTTATCCTAATTACTAGTCGCAACATGTTGCAATTTCCGCCTTTCAAGGACGGGACTCTATTCAGCTCAAGAGACATCCTCAAGCTTCAATAGCCACTTGCTGCACTAAAACATCTGCAAACTTCACTTGTCAAGTCGGCAGTAGATCTGGCAGCTGAGCTTGTGACTTAGGCTTTGGGCTGGTAGACTTGCAGCTGGGCGGAGGTGCCGTGCGCTGTGACTTTCTGCGACCCTGCCATCAGCTGTGCTGACGCTCGGGAGGCAAAGCCGCCTACTTCGCTTTCGACTGGCACGACGATGTGCCACAAGAGAGGCGCGCTTGGGCCGCCATCCCAGAACCGTCCAGCACGATGCTGTTGTCGCTGACATGCCATTGTCGCTGACGCTGAGAGCTGCTGCTTAAGCTACTCAGCTGCTGCACGGATTTTGTTGCGCGGTCGTCCTCATGAGGCGATAACTTTCGCCATGCTCGCCGGATGCAACGAAGATCAGGCCGCAACGACTAATCCAGGTTTAATAGACTATCGTGTTTTCTCTTTTGATGAAGGTAACTAGTCTGGTGCTGAACTTGCTGAACAACATCAATTTTGGTTAAATGACAATTTTGATATTAGAAATCCTGATGTTATTCGAACTGATACTTATACAGTTACAGTGATGCGAGATAAAAACAAAATATTCATGCTAATCTTATCTGTAATGTTTAGAGAAGCAGAAGTAATAGCAAATCAAAATGAATTTACAGGCATTGATGTTGGTAATTTACACTCAATAAGCAAAATGTTTTAAACATTGTTGATACGCCACCACTCACGGAATTGTGTTGCCTTTTGTTTCTGGGATTTTGGTTCTTGTTCCAGCTAAAAACCTTTACTTACACAGTAATGAAATATGCAACTACAACCAATTAACCGTGGCAGGTAACTCATCAGTAATAAAGAAAACAAATGTAGCGGTCCCCGATTTAGGTATTACTAGGGATAACGAAATCAATGACGTGGATTATATCCATGTATGTAATGAAGTAATGAGACGTGTTTCTTTTCGTTTCACACTCAGACGGTCAATTTTAATAATGTTGAATGCTCTCTCAGTTTGATGTTTTCAGGGATTAATAATGTCTAACTAGAAAAATCTAGACTAAATTCACAATGAGTAGCGAAGAAGTTGAGGAGGTTAAAAATGAAGAAGTGTCAGAAGTAGTTTATAATGAAGTCATTGAAACAGCCACTGATTTTTTTTACCTGGTGAGGTTAAACCGTTAAACCTGAACAAAAAGAAGAACAGGCTAGGCCAGATAAAAATGAAGTTGTAGAAACACAGCCAACGGCAAAAACAAAAGCAAAAGCCAGACCGAGCCAAAGGCTCGTGAGTTCTTCGGCCCCGAAGAAACTAGCCAGAAGCGTTAACGTAGTTGGGCTGGTTGAATGTGAAGCTTGTAACACAAAGATGTTACTCAAAAGTTTGAGAAGCACTCCCCCCTTTTATTGTAAGGGACAACCAACGGAAACAGTACCAGTAAATAGGCAGAAGGCAAGTTATGTGATATAGGTACAGCAAAAGTTAAGACAAGAAATAGAAGAAGAGAAATGAAACACAACTATGAAAATAAGAATGAAGTTGTTACAGTTACATACAGCGATCCAGTTGAAGTTAAAACCAAATCTAAACTTTTTGTAGCAAAACCAAAAAGAACCTATACAACCACAACGACAACTATCAGCAACTGAGTTATTGCAACAGTCATACAACGAAATGAATAAATTTATACAACAAGAGAACGCCGAGAAAATAGCAAGGTTTTAGACAAGCATGTTTCAGTTATTGCTAATCTTTATTTTTATTTAAATCTAGTTATCCTGAATAATGAGTATGTTCAAGAGCAAGCCAGAGCGTAAAACCATGCCACAATTTCAACAGTATTGAAGATACTTTCGGAGTAGCAAGTTGGAGGAAAGAAATGGAAAATACGGGATTAAGACATAACAAAGCGGTGAGTAGAACCAACAATATTAGGCACCGCCAAAAGACAAGTTTGTATCAAGGTCACTTAGACGATGTTAACAGACAGGTGGAGCGTCCAATGGTGCCATTTGGAACAAAGGAGGAACTAAACAAGAAACAAGATGAGTTATCAGAGATTACGGCTAATTTAGCTTAAGGTATATTCAAATTTGAATAAGAAATTAAGATATCATATTTCGTATACGATAACAAACATGAAAGTCTGAATTACAAGTAAGACCAACTTATGACGAAATCAAAGGAATGATTGAAGCACAAGGAGAAGAGAAGCGTCCCTCTATTGAATGTGTAACTGATGGAAAAGCCTTTGTATTCAGAGAGAATCAATTTGAAAGTCAATCTGATAATATTGATTTTCTAGGATTGAAGAAGCAGGAAGAGGACAGAACAAGAGAAGGTTTGAGACAAGCACAATTAGGAAATGCAGGGATACAAACAAGGACGTCAACAGGTATAACGGATCTTAGAGCACTTGGTTTTAGAACACCTTCTGAAGCGTATGAGTTAGATGAATGAAGAAGATGATTTTTTGGCATATGCAAGCCAAAGCAACCAGTATAAGGGCAAGAATGGAAAGGGATTTGCAGAGACAGCAGCAAGCACAACAGTCATCATCACCATCACCATCATCATCATCATCATCAACAGCGAGAGCAGATTTAGATACAGCCTTTAGGCAATCTTTACCAGTTGGTGTTGTTCGGGTGACGGTGAACAATGCGCGCCCTCAGGGCTACGCCGTGACGAAGAAGAGATGCCAACCTTAGTGAAATGAACAAGAAGAAGATACGGAAGAAGAACTAGTACCGGCAGAAGATGCGCAACCTCGCTCGTTTCAACAGGGATTAGTGTATTGGAACAACGATATTGAAAGAATGAAGACGAGCCAACAGTCAATTATGACGGCGTACTGTTTCAGTTGCATTTACGAGGTCAATTAACGGAAAAGATGCAGTATGCCTGATGAACTATCAAGGAAACTTTGTTTGTTGAGAGTTATTGAGAACCTAATAGGAATGGAACCAGAAGAGAACAAATGGCAAACAATGGTGAATGTTAAACTGCAAAGGAAGGGAATAACAGGAGAGACGAAAGGTAGAAGGGCAGAAACGCAAGGGGGCAAGTCAAGCAGTTCTTCATGAACGCCATTAAGAGAGATAGCAATTAGCGGAGCCAAGGCATGAGTTGAAACAGCACTAGCAAAATCGTTTTTACCAGTGTATCTGCACCCTGCTCCGTACTATACACATTGAGTGCTTCTGAAGACTTGTTCTCTAAAGCAGTCCGTTGCTTTGACAACTCCTTCTGAGCCATGTTGAAAATGCGATGCACATCATCTTTGTTTTGACGCCCTGCTTCCTGAGACAGCCTTGACAGAATGATGCGGAAGTTTTCCTCCACTTCGTTCAGGTCGTCAGAGCCGAACTCCTTTACAAACACAGGACGAAGCTTCGTGCAGTAGTTTTCGTCAAGGTAGGAGGACTGCAACTCCGCTTGTTGCTCGGGCGGTGCTCCAAGATTGACCTTCGCTATGATGCACCTCTCAGCAATGGCTTGAAGATAACGACCTTAGGGGGATAAGGGACAAGATATATGACTACGGTATTCTGCAGCTCTCAGAAGCGTGACTTGCCATCTTGCGCAAAGTTTACATGGAATGTTCGCCACCTTTGCAAAGGCATGGCAAAGATGTCTTACCTGCTGCAATGGTTCTTCTTTATCTTTGGACCTGTGCTATCTGTACTCTTTCAATTCGTCTTGGTGCCTCGAGTTTGGCCTTGTATTGCTCCAGTTGGACTCTAAAGCTATTGTGCGTACATGTGCTGTGGGTCCGTCTTGGTCCTGCATTGCGGCAGGTCGAAGTCAGCGATGTGCCGGTGGACTCAAGAGCTCGAGGCTGCGCAGAGCTTGCGATCGAGCGAGATTGGAATTCCGAGTTTCATCTGAGCGCCAGGATGGCAGGCACCAGCTCCAAGAATGCACAAGGCGGCCATTGATGATAGAAGGTTGAAGCTTTCTTAGGTTCCTTCCCCGACACGATGTCGTAGGAGACGGACTGTAGCCTGCGGCCAGGTGTCTTACGAACGGTCAGAGTCTGCAGGTGACCCACTCGCTGTGATCTTTGAACCGTCGTGGCAAGTGCGTGGAATGTGCAGAGCTTGAAGCATCTAGACCTTCAACCCATTTCAGGGTCCTTTCTTCTCTTCTCGGGAACTGCACAGTCGCAGGTATGCCCTACCAGTCCATGCAGTTGGGACCAGGGAACAGACAGGCTGGGCCGTTGCCAGCCCTTGCCATTGACCCCCAGATGCAGCCAGCGTCTGCAATTTCACGCTTCACGTGTGTTCGCGACGAGATGCTTTGGTGTGCGCGGGTGGAGGGGTTTCAGAGGGTCGCTCGTGTATTCGCGACTTTAAAGGGAACCCTGCCCGGACTCGGTGCCAGAGAATCGGATGCCTTCATCAGGTGCCGAACCCTGGAAAGCATCGTGGTGCCTGCATGTTTCACGGGTGAGAGAGACAGACTTTTGAAGACCGCTGCTGAGACACCGGGGAGGCCACGACCCTGATGCTTGCCACTGCAAACGATCCTTGAAGCAAGGTTTCCACACCAGTAGGAGACTGAAGGCTGCAGGGATGCTGCCATCAACCTCTCCTGTGTTAGTGATACTCGTTGTTCCTGGAAGGGAGAGTCCTCGTGTTGAGACTCAGAGTCTCCATGTCATGCATGGCAGGGGCAGAAGCTTCCTGGCCGCGCAGGCTGCAGGCCTGCATGAGTCTGCGCCATTCTGCACCACTAGCCTCAAATACTGTCTGTGTTTCGACTCGGGAGTATTCTGCCGAAAGCAATAACATCAATAACATATAATATCAATAACATTGAGTTGGCTAGTAAAGGCTCTTAGGTGAAACTGGGCTTCAAACTTGCTAGTTACAGTATTTTGCCACAGGAAGAGGGTCAGGCACTTGATGCTTGGGAAGAGGCATCGCCGACTCCCCAATATTTGCAAGGCGCTGCATCAACGAATCGTTGTCCTTCCTGGATTCCTGAGGCTGACTGGCGACCCTGTGGAGCCCGATTTGGAGGTCTTGCCGGCACCGGCAAATGGATGATGCTGGACGCGCTCTGAGCAGGTTTCGATCGCGTTGACCTGCCCATTTCGGCCGGACTCGAGCGACAGGCTTGAGTTTCCTTGCCGGAACTTCTGGGCAGCCTGCCGTCCGTGTATTATTGCGTCGAAGCTCACGGCTTGGGCTTCGGCCTTCAGAACCATGCTTTGACATGACATGTGTTGCTATAGTACAATGCAGCATCACACGCCCGACGAAGCATCCGCTTCGGAGTCAGAGTAAGCCGCGCGGTTTGCAATGGCCGTCCCGAGTATGGTGCCCTTGGCCTACCCGTGCAGGAGAGCTCAGTTCCGTGAGGATCGTAGTAGAAAGCAGCGTCTCGCAGAGGAGTCCATGGCCACTGGGACCGGCCAGCGGCGGCGACTTTCGACTTCCGAGAGGCGCAAACGCACGGAGTTCTTTGCTCGCGGCTCGCGGCGTTTGCGCAGGTGGATGGGCAAAGAGCTCTCCAAGCTTTCAGCCAAGACATTCGAGGATGCAGCGCTTGAAAGCGGCAAAGCTTGACATCCAGAAGCACCTCACTTGCATTGCAATGACACGACGAGCTGCTGCACAACAACATCTCTCGGCGGTTGCGCAGGTCTCCACGGGCTTCTGCTATGCTGCCGATTCTTTTTGCCACCGGGACTGGGCAGAGATTTCAGGTCCGGATGACTGGCTCCCCAATCTGGGAGCAGCGTCCCGCAGGATTGCTCGGGCCAGCGGCTTTGCTCAAGGTCTCGATGTCTGCCTAGGTTTCTGCAGCAGTGGCGAATCGAGTTTCAAACCGTGTTCTGTTGGCACCGTTGCTGCGTCATACGTATTGTGCCCAGGCTGCATGATTAAACTCTTCGCAGTAGCCAATCCAACTTATTTTGCAGAATTGGGTCGCATGGGAGTCCGATGGCATGCCTCGCAGTTGTCCCGAGTTCTGGCTCTCACGACCACCTTGGCTCAACTGTCGATCTACTGTGTCTGGCTGTGGCAGAGTTTTCGCCAAGGAGTGCGTCAAATTGCAAGAGGTGTCACAAGAAATAGACATGGTCTGTCAAAGCTGGATCGCTGCTCTAGTTCAGCCTTGCAGGACAGATCACAAAGTCCATGTGGGACTATGCCATGTCCAATCCAGTGTTGCTGGGAGCCTTCGGCCTGTGAGCCTTGGCTGCTAATTCTCTTTTGCAGGAGTTCTCAGGGTAGCGGTTAGTGGGCTGAGAGCGAGTCTCTGGTGGACCCTGCCGGAAGTTGGCGGTCCAGGACATTGCTTTGATAGAGACCTTGCCATACTTCGAGAAAGAGTTGACCGGGGCGGGGCCAGCCCACGACCCCGGGCCCCTGCCCGTGTCCCTTGCAAGGCGAGGGAGCCTTCTTCCCCTTGGTCTTTTACTCGGCAGCGCGGCTGCCCGGAAGCTTGGTCCAAGTCCTCAACCAGAGCCTCATACCATTCACTGCCTCCAGGCAGCAACCCGTAAATAAGTGAGCTTTGCTCTTGGGATGTTACGCTCCTGTCGAGGTGCTCTTCAGCTTCATCTTTCTGAGCCGACGCTATGACAGGATCCAACTCCTAGGTGTTTTGGTAGCCCGGATGCTCCAAATGAATTTCTTTTAGTTCTTGCATGATGGTGAGTTCCGCCCGCTAGCACACCTGCTTTTCTCGTTCCGGTCTCAAGGTTGTTCTTTGGGGGGTGACACTATTTACATCCTTGCCTCGAAGCACCGGATCGTCCTCAGTGTTCGTCATTCTCTGCATTGCGGCTTATGGGCCAGACACTTACTCAATCTGCGCTCTGTGTCTCTTGTCCTGGCAAATGGTGAGAGAGTGAACTCAACAAAGGCTCCAAGCAGCAGCACCTCTGACGGCACTAGTCACTAGCTTCGCTGCACTTCCAATGCACTTCCAATTCTGTGGTGCATTGTGAGGCGCTGCAAGACTCAGAACCCATTTGTACTTAGTCCCGCCAAGCAAGCCAGACGCGACGAGCCCCCACACCATACTCCTCCGAGGAAGATCCTCGTCCCAAATTCGGGATGATTTGAGGCGAGAGCTGTTTATCGCACAATCAGTAGACATCGGATGTGCACGGCTCCCTTAAGCTTCGAAGGTAATGCCTTGCCACTTCAAAGAAGCCGAACTCCAAGACCCCCGCCACCATGATCAAAGGTTTGAAGGATTCAGGGGGCCTGCAGGGCTTTATTATTTACTTGTGAATGCGCAGTGTCGTGTCCAGAGCACGCGCACGTGCGCATGTGCGCGCGCGTGCGCGGTTGGGGGTGGCCGTGAGTGAGGTGGACTCTAGAGGGCCATGGCCAGTGGACCTTTGGACTGCTTGTTAACAGAACCTTAGTGACTACTGCTGGGATCACACGAAGCAGCTCACTGGTGCCGTCGGGATTCACGGTTCAATGGGATATTCTCTCGGCACAAAACTGGGTGAGGCCAACCTCTCAGGTGGTGTCTGTATCAAAGCCGTGCGGCGGGCGTGGTTTACTGCTGTTGTAGCCGCTTCAGCCGATGCGAAAGGACTAGCTTTGTTAGTTGAATTTATTGTACTAAACCTGAATGTTATGCTAGAGTGCCCAGGCCATGGTCGTCAAGGAGACTGTCTTCGTTCAGTTCTCACAGAAGCAAACGCGAGGCAGGAGCGGGGCCAGAGCAGGGCCACGCTATTTGACGGAAGCCCGTGATATCATTTTTCGTGAAGAGGTGGGTCTGAGTCGAGTCCATTTGCTGCGGCCTCAGCTGATCGTGGCTGTTGGTCCGGATGATAATGGGGGTTCAATCCCTTTTGTGCTGACAATCAGTGCCTTGTGGACCCCTAGACTCTAGAAACTCAAGAAGGCAACTCCTTGATGCAAGCAAAATTGGCCGCTTGGTCGTTTGACTGTCAGTGTCCCATCAGAGCCAAGACGATCCACCAGCATGGGCGTTGCATGCGGGCTGGAGACTAAGGATGCCTCGCTTTTCCTGACCATCGGTACTTGCTGCCGCTGTGCCATTCAACTGCTGGCCTGGCCATTGTTTCTGCAACTGGTGTCTCCAGGCCTTGGCATCAGGAGAGATCGGAGATGCAAGCGAGACTGTTGAGTCAAGTGTGCTTAAAGCCGTACGGTGGGTTCTTACCAGGAGCTGTGCGACAGCCGGTGCGATGGCAATGATGCATCCTGCTGTTCTTCCCCTGACGATATTCTACATCATGGCGAATGTGGCTGGGACGGAAACGGGGACTCTGATTTTCTCAGCAATGTTTTGCAGCATGTGTCGGTTTCGGAACCTCGAGCAAAGCAGTAGGCCATCAGGGTCCATCCTGCTCAGGTTGGCATCAGCATCACTGCTCTGCTGCTCGTGCAGAAGTCATCAGCATCGACCGTAGTTCTTGCCAATGTGGTCGCTCGTCTGAAAACACATTCGCGCCATGGTGCCATGCACGGTTGGCAGGAAGGGCTGCTCTCAGGTTGCGCTGCCGTTGTCGGCGCTGATCTTCTGTCTTCCACTGCCATCGCTGGAGCGGCAGGCGGGGAATGGGGTGCCAGCAGGGCACGGGACAGAGTGCGGAGGCTACAAGACTGCCAGGGTTATCGAGGCGTAAGGTCTGAAGACCACGCTGCATGCCAACAGGTATTCCAATGGCGATTCGCGGTCAGTCTCTTGCTGATTGTTCTGGGGACCCTTGGCTGTAGACGCAGACATATACGACTGCAATTTCGCCTGCCTCCACACTGATGAAGATGCCAAGGAACTTGCTCTATAGCCATCGTTCATTGACGCCTTGAATTGAACATGAGATGTGGATTTCGAATTATGGACCCCACAGCTGTGAGGATCCGATTCGAGAATCACTCTGTTCCGAATTCAATGGTCGCCTTTCTGGACCTTCACATGAACAGTGTTCAAGAGTTGGCAAAAGACACCCCTTGCTTCTTCTGATGTATAGCAGTGGCACTAACTCAGACTATCAATTATGGACTTTCCATTCAGTACATGACCTCGGCGCAGGCTCAGTGAAGCCGATGCCAGCACCTGTGACGGCATTCGAGCCGTTGCCCAAGTCTTCCGTCTCACATGACCGCCTCATGCCGGCGGTGATGTGGAGCGACTCCTAAGGAGAAGATGCTGGACAACCTGGTGACTCCTGAATCAGGCCGATCTCTGAAATTGGCGGCCGAATGCGTCTTGGCCGTGATCTCAAAGGGCTGGGCGGCATGCAGGTTTCTACGCTGCCCTGGCGCCTGACATGTCGCTCCACCTCCTGCATTTTGCTCCGTCTGCGACCGAAGGTCCAAAGCCATGAGCAGATGCCGAAGAGTCTGCATGCTCAGGCCGCACATCATCCGAGCCCTCTCCGAATGCCCGCCGATCGAGAGGATCGAAGAGTCAGTGCTCGCCTGTGGCAGTGGGACAGGGCGAGACATATTCATTCTTCAGAAATCCTCTTCATAGATGAGGCCACAGAGGACCCCAGTCTTCAACTTGACATGGGGCAGCCACGTAAGCACGAAAAGGGGACTCGGACTGCAGAGCCCTGGCCATCGATGCAGGGGTGACTGGGCACTGCACAAAGCCTAAACCCAGAGCACATTTCAAAAAAACGAAGTTGAAGCTGGTCATTAATTTACCGCTATGCCAGTCAGGGCATGTGGAATTCCGGTGCTGGAAAATTGTGAAGCACGGCGCATGACCGAAGTCTTAGGCTGAATTCGATTTCCCACCCTGCGCTGCTTAAGGGAAGCGGCGAAAATGTGCGGCTGAGTTCATGGAATTCGCCAAACACAAGATTCTGAATAATCTACAGGTGCTCCAGATGAATGCAGCCTGCAACTTCCGCGATGCTAGAGGCGAGTGCTTCTGCAGAGTTGGACCGCTTGCAAGTTTTGCTTTAGTTCGCAGGTGATGATGCGTCGGAAGGCTTATACACCAGCTCGACGGCATTCCTGCCAGAGCCTATGACGTGCTTGTGCCTGTCGTTCTCTTTGGGAGACCGGGTGTAGGTGCAGCTGGACTGAGACTCGCCAACTTTCTGAGCCCAGGCGATTGCACCTTTTCCAATCGCAACTGGGGGTGGAGATGCTGAGCCAGCATTTGCAGAAGCAGGCACTGCTTTCTGTGAACTGCACCGTGTGCGCACGGCTATGCTTAGCCGGCACCGTACGTCTTAGGAGCACACCTGAAGGGGAAGTGCTGCCAGGTTTGCAGGCGACCGCTGTGCAGAGGCTATGCGGAGGTTCTGCGCCAACGCGTGAGGGGATGTCCGTTTCTCAGTTCCAGCGCCGCTTGGGAGCGATGCTAGTTCCATGCTGTTCGACTCAGTTGGAGCACCGCAGGTCCCGAGGACGCAGGGCACAAGGGCGTCATCGCCAGAGTGGTGTCCCTGCCATGTCTTGGTGCAGAGTGCAAGAGCTTCAAGAGCACATCGCAGCAGGCTCGAGCTGTTGACACTACCATGGCTTCATGCCTGGAGGCTGTCACGGATGTCACGGAAGGGTAGTGCAAAGGAGACATCGGCCGCCGGCCGCGGCTCCCCAAACCGCAAACGCTTGAGGTCCACAGCGCCAGCCACGGCGATGCAACTCACTCGGAAGTCTCGTGCGCAAGCCCAGGGCCTGCGTGCCGTTCGAGGTTTGGTTTTGAATTTGAGTTGCTTCTGGGACAGGTCTGGTGGTGGAGCCCTGGCCGGGGTGTGGTCCAGCGATATGAGCGTGTGAAGCTGGGCATTCCGTGAAGGGATATAACACCCGTTTCGAGTGAAAGGCAGCGGATTCTCTCATTTCGCCTTAGGAGAAGAACCACGTGTTGATATCAGGCCTCGATACAGGCTGTGCAAACTTCTGACGAATCGAAACTAGCATTCCTGCGAATGAAGTGTTCTCACTCACGGGGCAGGCAGCGCTGCGGAAATGCGTGCTGTGGAAGCTGCAGTTGGCAGGCCAGCTCCAGCAGTGCAGTGCCGACCGGGCATCACTTGACACTCCGAGTTCAGCTCGTGTCGCAGGATCTTGGCCGATGAATTGCAGCTTCCACTGTTTGCTTTCGAGGAGCTGGATTCTCAAGGGTTGGGTGCAGTTGCAAAGCAATTTCGCGTGTGAGAGCCTAGGCGGGGTCAAAGCTTCGCCGATGTCTTCGATCCACTTCTTGGAGGTGCAGACGTGGAACCATCTGGAACCCAGCCGGAGCGCATTCTCGATTTTTCGAGCTATACAATTCCTGTGCAGTCGCAGTTGGCGCAGGGCCGAACGTGTTCACCGTCACTGAGTCTCGCCTGCGTGCTGGGAGCTGATAATTCTTCTCTGAGCAATCGTATCGAGTATTATCGATTCAAGTCGCGCGGGCGTTGGAGTCGCGTATGTCTAGGTCGCTGCTCAGCTTACGCCCCTGCCGAGTGGGGAGCCTTTCGACGAGTCAGTTGGGCGCTTCAATGAGCCGAAGCAGGATTGGGATGCACTGCAAGCAGTGCTTGCAATGGGCCTGAGTTGTTTCACTCAACGCTTTCAGACTCTGTTACAGGAGATCCCTGTGCAGCAGAATGCCTACTTTGCCGAGCAGCACAACCTTCAAATGCCGCAGCCTCAATCGAGTTATGGTCTGATTTGCCACCATCTCGCTCGCCGAAATTTCTTGGCAGGCTTGCAATCCAACCTCGGTGGAACGAACAAGGCAAGCAGGGTGTCCATATTTCCATGTTCCAAGAGCGGTTATTCCGTTAGCCCCTACTCAAACATTTCCTGCAGACCAGGCATTGATCCTTCACGGCTGAGGATTCGAATCATCTTCGAGGACAGCCCTATGTCAGTTGCGGCTTCGCTTCCTAACTACATGGGCCTTCTGCCAGTCCGTATTCTCAGACGCCATCCAGCGCCACAAAATCGGATGGCATTGTCATGGCATGTGTGATACATGGATGGAAACTGAGCCCATCGTGCCGTGCGACAGGAAGTCGTGACAAAAGATGATCCGTCCGCGGTCATTAGGGTATTCCCAGCCCCGAACCTCGGAACGATGTATGTAGAATGGCACGGCCACTGTGATTTTGCTGCAAATCGAGAATGGAGCTCAAGGTGGCGTTGCGAGATATCTGTGCCCAGCCTAGTTTCGATGGCTGGGTTTAAAGAACCATGCAGCTGAGTGGATCCAGTCTGTCACGGTCTTCTCAGCTTGCACGGCGTGTCATGGCGGAGAGTAAGGTTCGAGCCTGCAGCCGGATGACGAACTCCAGTGGCAGATGTTTCCGCCGAATTCTTGGTCCTGTCCGTAGTGAGGTACGATTGTTGTGGGATTAGCTCGTACGTCGTACCATCCATGCTCTCAGCAGCTATGCTCCTTCTTACTATCGTGCTGCATGACACACACACACACCAGAACGAAAAGCCAGCTTCCTTGATTTCGCACAACGCAGGAAGCTCATTGCTTGAGGCAGAACCACAGGGCAGAGGGGAATGGTAAGGACAGAAAGCTCAAGCCTTCAGGGTGTGTGTGTGTGTGTCATGCCCCTACCAGCCAACGACGATGGCCTTTGCACACGCTCATATTCTCGGGAGACGTCCTGAGAACGTTCCTGCGTTTTAACTCCTTATAGTAAAACAGAGGATTTTTCACAATCTGCTTGAAGTCTCACGTGATTGCCATGGATCGCTTTTTGAACAGCCGCATGTCAGACAGAGTCAACGTTGCGTCGAGCAGTTGCATGTTTGATCAGTTAAGCTTCTCTATCTTCTCTGTTGAGCAGTTACATGTCCGATTGATCAGAATTCTGTGCAGTGCAATGTTCCGGCAGTCATGTCCGAGTCCCATCAAGAGGAAAATAGATCGGAGCAGAACACAAGAACGGTGCAAGCGAGCCACGTCACCGACGTCATTCCAGATCAACAGATCTAATGAACGTGTGTGTTTGTGTGTGTGTGTGTCCTGGAACCGTGATGGCTAAGGGCAGACACCGGTCTTGGGTCTCTTGAGCCGGGGCCTTTGGTGTATCGGTGGTTTGGCTAGAATAGGAAGTTTGGATGAAAAGTGAGACTTGCAGGCCTGCCAGTGGTGGATCCGGCGCTGATCCCTTGGACAGCGTACCCGTCGGATTCGTTTGCAACATCCTCGGTTTATGAGATTCACCCCATGAGCTGCGCACCTCATGCGACACAGGTCACGTCATAGCAGCTGGAGATGACGTTCAGGTCCTTGCAAGTGGTGAGGCGGGCAGTGTCTTGCTCGGAAGGGATTGACTGGCGCATCAGCCAGGTGCTGCAGATAGAACTGTCGCAGCCTCTTCTCCGCAACACCAAATATGAACTGGCCTAAGCAAGACAGCTTATTTTGCTGGGCTCGGCCACTTCGACGATGTGGCCTGAGGTGGTTTTGCTGCCGCCGCGCATCGTGAAAGCCGCCATGGGCAGTTGGACTCCCTGGAACGGTTTAGCTGGGAATGGGGCTGGTTTCAATCGCTGCATGGACTGAAGGTACGACTTTCCCAGGTGCTCTCTGGGAGGCCTGGGACACCTCACGGCAAGCTCTTTCAGATTGCTGGATGCTGCAGGGTTGGCCAAGCGAGGAAGGCCAAGACAACCAGGAGCCGCGAGAGCACGACTGCCCACAAAAACCATAATGATTAATGAGGCTTGCTTGTGGATAGGATTCGAAGCGTGATTGATGTTGCTGAGGAGTATGTGTTCACCACGGGAACCCCCAAAGTGTCCAACGCGAGGCAGTGCCTTCCGAATGTTCCGTGCAGTACCGGGCGTAGCTCGGCCGTCTCACCGTCGCAATCGCTTTTGAGGCTTTCCATTGCCGTCAGCCGCAGCCTCACGGGAATCTCAGAAGACGAAGACGAGAGCGTCAAACGAGAGAGTTGCAGGCTGCAGTTCCGAAGAGGAGTGCGAACGGCAGCATCGGCCACAGAGACTCCTAGATGTGACGGAAGTCTTCAGAAACTGCAGACCCAAGGAGGCGCCTGGTCAGCGAGCAAGGCATGGAGGACAGCTGAGTCGCCTATAGGAATGTCACTCCCTGCACGCATCCGCACGCCACACATCGCGTCGAGTAAAAATTATTGAATACTGACACATCGGCTCAAAAGGCGAGTCAGGGCAGGGGCATACGCACGCTGAAGGAATATGTCGTCTTTATCGCGGTGACAGGATCTTGCGAGCCGCGCATCCTGTTTTGCAGCATGGTTCCGCTGCAACCAGGATCCGGTTGCACAGGCACGGCAATTCTGCCGCGAGTGAGAGGTGTGAGAGATTGTGAGAGAGTCAGAGCTCTCTTGCCCTGTCTGCTGAGAAACATTGCGAGATTCCTGATCAAAGTACGTGCAGACCTCAGAAGCCTGTCATTGTCTGCTGCTCAACAAACGAAATGCATTCGAGCCGGGTATGACGGTATGCCGGCATGCGAACTGCTAAAGAAGTTTCGAGCTTTGAGTCGCAGCAGGTGGGCTGTGGGCTTGGAAGGATGTGCTGCGGGCGCTGAAGGGGTTAAGTATGTAAGGCAGTGGTGTGACCCTCATGGCAGCTGGGCCTTGAGCTTGGCCCAGCTTGGAGAGCTGAGCGATGCGAGCCTGAAAAATCATGGACATACCAGGCACCTTCTTGGTCTCCACCACGGAAAAAGCAGGATCGTCTTCTTTGGGTGTCCTTTTTGCATCCGGGCCATGCGTGTTCGAGCGCCAGGATGTCCAGTTGAGCAGTGTCCCAGATCAGGCTGTCTCGGAGGCCTTGCCCGTCCTCATACTAAGTCAAACTAGTCCATGCATCTGCATGGATGCGCAAGTTGGTCACCCTGCAGGTGCAGTCAATCTACTTGCCGAGTTGGGTAACAACCTCATTTTTTCCGCTTCCCCTGAACACCAACATGAACTTCACCAATGTGAGCTTCGCAAGAAGCGACTGAGCCTGCGAGGTCTACATTGTGTCCTTAGCTGCCTGGGTACAGGGCACCTTTGCAACTCTGCGAGCAGCTTGGTGGGTCGATGCCTGAGATCGGCTCCGAGGAAACTCGAAAAACATCACAGGCTTCGCCTTTTGCTCGTCTCCGAGGTGAGCGACCTTTACACGCAGAGCCGCGACTTCGACCCGTACGTCGCGCAGGCACGCGAGAAGCACAGCACAAACGTCATTTCACGAATAGGCAAGGCATAGCCGCAAGAAGGGCCACTGTCATGTCCTGGTGATGGGGCAAGTCTTGCTGTCAGTTGTCTCCATGCAAACGAGCAGCTGCGAAGTCTGTTTGAGGGCAGCCGCAGCTTGCCCTTGAAAGCTTGCGCCGTCTCTATGGCGCGGTACTTATGGCGAGTGCACAGTGGTGAGATGTCGCCTTCCAGCACGGGATAGATGAATGGCTGAATTGTGTGTTTGTGCAGTTTCGGCGGAGTCGAGGCAATTCCGCTGTTGGTCGGCATCCTTGGCCAGAGTCCTACAGTGTCGGTACCGGCGCTCGACGAGAAATTGCTACAGCCATGTTACAAACGGTGCTAAGCATCAGTTCCGCACTTCTTCTTCCACATACGTCCCAGATGTGCCTGGACAGCCCATGTTGCACTTGGAACCAGGCGCATTCTTTGCTGTTCCTGTCTTTCGAATTGCTGTCCAGATCTTAATCGGCGTGTTTGTTGCGTGAGCCAGTCGAGATGCTTTCAACTGGAGAGGTGCGCGGATTGTGGAGCCAGGGCGGTAGCAACCAGCAAGGGGTTGTACTCTCAGTCACCGACGGAGCGTTGGTTATGGCTTTCGGGCCAAGATGTAGGCAGTGGGAGCATGAGGCTTTGGTTGATGCTGAACGGCTTCACCATCAACTAGCAGCTGCGTTTACCGTGTGCTTCTGTGCGAGTGAGGCGCGTGATTGACTCGGGGTTCCTGCTTGTAGGGCCTTCCGATATGCCGCTTGCCGGTGAGTTGAAGTCACCGAAGTGCTTCACATAGCTTCAGGCCTTCACAGCTGTTTTTGCGTACAGCCTCATCGCCCGCTTCAAGAGTTGGGTCGCAGACAAGGCCGCAATATGCGTACACTCACACTGTGGTCCGTTGATGTGTCAGTTCTCGAGATATAGAATGAGAAACAGGCTCAAATGCAGCGGACTCGAGCACGTGCCAAGTGGGCATGCAGAGCAGGGGATACCGACATCGGGGATATGCCGATAGACCCT